GAAAGATATTAACAATGTATTTAAATAGTTGTTAAAATACCGCAAGTGATATCGTCATCACTGTGCTTTGAGTCAGATGTCCTCTAGTGGGACGATAATGAAAAAGTGGACATCTGAAACTGATGTGAAGCTAAAGAAAGAGCAAACTGATCCATGAACTGGAACCAGAGAGAATCTGCTATAACTCACTTTGTTCACTTTATCTTGTTTGGGTCAGGAAGAGACCTGGACCTGGACCCAGCTGTGAGTCCATGAAGAGTGGCTGGTCTATGGATCACCCAGTTACCTTTAGAGATGGACAGGCTGCAGATGAAGGGTAAGAATTGTTACGTTTTAGCTTTATAGTTAAGTTATTGAAACCAGGAGCCACTGCTATTTCCTACCTGAATTTTATGGGTCATCTAAATCCTTGGATCCTTTATTGCTCTACTTCAAGTCAGATGTCCTCTAGTGGGACAATGAAGAAGAAGTGGACATCTGAAACTGATGTGAAGCTAAAGAAAGAGCAAACTGATCCATGAACTGGAACCAGAGAGAATCTGCTATAACTCACTTTGTTCACTTTGACTTTGTATCAGGAAGAGACCGGACCTGGACCTGGACCATGGATCCAGCTGTGAGTCCATGAAGAGTGGCTGGTCTATGGATCACCCTGTTACCTTTACAGATGGACAGGCTGCAGATGAAGGGTATGAACTGTTACGTTTTTGCTTTATAATTAAGTTACCTATTTAAACCAGAGAGACTTGTTTGTCTTTTAAATTAGCATTACCAAGATCAACAGAAATAATTCTAATTTAAATGTGTTTCATTCACCTCAATGCCCAATGGTTGAATGTAGGCGAGGAAAGTCCCTATTTTCAGTGTGTGTTTGGCACCACCTTATTAAGCTTGTTACCTTCTTGCAGATTTCAACAGCATGAATGTAAAAATGTAGGTTGCCTAGTAGAATATAATATACCCTTGATTGTCTTACAAAGGGGAAATGTGCATTCTACATTTGACAATGACGTTAAGAATAAGGCAATTCACTTGCTAATTAAAAAGTGTGGCTTCTTGTACCATGCACAGCTTATCAGCCAAGTAGCGGACAGGATAAATCACAAACCGTGTGCAGTTAAAACTGAATATGCAGGTTGAGCATCAAACCCTCCCTGAGCTGCCAGCTGTATCTCCAGTCAACATCAACGTCTTTTTGGTTCTCTCCAAGTCTGTTGCTCAGCGTCTCTGAACCAGATTTGTTGGTGTTGGCGTATACCCTTAGTGACCCTCACCAGTGATGTGGTCTGGTCTCATCTGGTCTTCGGCCCTTCTTGATCAGACCACATAGATCGCTCTTCCTGATCCAACACCATCTGGATCTTTCAGCAGCTTCAGATGTGATGCTGATGTCTCTGTGATGCCCTGCAAGGCCTTTACATCCAACATCCACAGTTAATCCGCCAGTTCTCCATCCCTGCCTCTGAGTCTTTACATCTCCTGACATTAGGTCCTCTTTCTCTCGTGGGACTCCTCAACCTGTTCTTACCAATCAGCTTAAACACCAGCAGCTGCTGTGAGGCTTCTGACAGTAGAACGCTTTCAGGCCTTAGTAATGTTTGTGCTTTTATAACGCCCCCTCCACCTGCTCAAGGTTATTCTGTCTTCATCCCAGAACACATTTAGTAAACTGTGTGCAAATTAGAGTCTTTAAATATTCTCAAACTTGATGTTTTCTCCACAGAGTTCTGGAAAAGGTGCTGGCTGACTGTCTGCAGAGCAGTAAGATGATTTAACACATTTAACATGATGGAGAGGTGATGGAGGCAACATGGAGTGCATCACATCAGTGTGTCCTCTGAGGAGCTGATTCAAACTATACAACCACACTTAAATGTTCAGATTGTCAGTGTTTCTGCCCGACTCACTCACTGACTTCACTTGTTGTTTGTTTATTCAGGAAATCCTGCTGCAGTTTGTCAGCGTAAACTTAAATCTAACCTGAAGAAGAAGTTCCAGTGTGTGTTTGAGGGCATTGCTAAAGCAGGAAACCCACCCCTTCTGAACCAGATCTACACAGAGCTCTACATCACAGAGGGGGGGTCTGCAGAGGTCAACAAGGAACATGAGGTCAGACAGATTGAAAGAGCATCCAGGAAACCACACAGACCAGAAACAACCATCAGACAAGAAGACCTCTTTAAAGCCTCACCTGGAAGAGATGCACCAATCAGAGCAGTGCTGACAAAGGGCGTGGCTGGCATTGGGAAAACAGTCTTAACACAGAAGTTCACTCTGGACTGGGCTGAAGGCAAAGCCAACCAGGACATCCAGTTCATATTTCCATTCACCTTCAGAGAGCTGAATGTGGTGAGAGAGAACAAGTACAGCTTGGTGGAACTTGTTCATCACTTCTTCTCTGAAACCAGAGACGCAGGAATCTGCAGGTTTGATCAGTTCCCGGTTTTGTTCATCTTTGACGGTCTGGATGAGTGTCGACTTCCTCTGGACTTCCTCAACACTGAGATCCTGACTGATGTCACAGAGTCCACCTCAGTGGATGTGCTGCTGACAAACCTCATCAGGGGGAAGCTGCTTCCCTCTGCTCGCCTCTGGATAACCACACGACCTGCAGCAGCCAATCAGATCCCTCCTGAGTGTGTGGACATGGTGACAGAGGTCCGAGGGTTCACTGACCCACAGAAGGAGGAGTACTTCAGGAAGAGATTCAGAGATCAGGAGCAGGCCGGCACCATCATCTCCCACATCAAGACCTCACGAAGCCTCCACATCATGTGCCACATCCCAGTCTTCTGCTGGATCTCTGCTTCAGTTCTGGAGGAGGTGTTGAAAA